ACTTTGCCAGCAAAAAATTAATCAAACTCAACTTGCCGCAAAGAACAGCAGCTTCCCGAATGGAAGTTTGATTGTTTTACTTTAAAAGCTTTTTAACTTGATTCCCGTTGCTTCTATTTTTGCTCGTTTCCAGTCAACAACAGTCTGCAAGGAAAAAAACTTGATCCACGCCATTGTATTCCAGATTTGATTTCTGCAGCTTTGCTTGTTTTACGTCACCCATTTAAATTTTAAATTAAAAAAAGTTTCTTTGCACGGACTGCAATCCAGGTTGGCGACGAGTTTTGATCATTTGATCATAAACGAATCGCAATTTTTTTCACTGTCCCGGTTCTCCGCGCTCTAGACCGGCTTTACCAATTGATTGTAAGTCGTCGCTGCTCATTTGAAATCAAGTTGACGGCAATAGTCGAGATTTAGAGCTCGAGGAAAATTACCCGACGTGCAGTAAAAAGTTATCGCAGCACCAGAGAGAGGGAAAATTATCTCAACATCCTCAATTTTATTTTCATTACTTTTCGCAAACCGCAACTTGTGCCAGTTGCACAGTCGTCTGGCCACGATCCATTTTCTTTCGGTCTTTTTTTCGCCAACTAATTATTCATCACTGTTATTACGCAATGTAAAGCTGAGTGAGTTATTTTGATCGTTGGCTCGACGGGCAAAAATTTGCACAAATGGGCGATGAAGGGAGGTTATTTATCTCGTTGAAAATAAAGACGGTAATATTCAGACATCCAGGCCAATTATTTCTGCGGTGTTGCGCAAAATCGCGGGAGCCGATTGAATTCTGCGAGTCGCTTCGTGAGCGCCGCATTATCGTAAAGATTCAAGTCCGAAAGTGGTTTTTCCTCTTTTTTCATCATATTTTATTGACAGCTCTGGCTGCGAAAGGAAACCCTAGAAAAATGGTGCGTAGAATGAACATTGGTTTACGGCGAAAGCCTAGAAGCAACAAACGACTACTTTGTAAGCAGTGCGTGTGGCGGCACTTTTAAACTTTGTGCGTGCAAACCTTGGAAACATTTTTCGGCAATTTATCCCTCAGGGAATGCAAATTGATCCGCAAATTAACAGCAGGATCATGATTATACACTTGTGAGCAACAAGCAAATTACTTTATATATTTTTTTCACAGAAAATTGCTGCAGAATCACAGTTAATTATAAAATTGGCGAACTTTCTAATATTAAACTGATTGAGTAAAATTATGACATTCTGTTTAGACTAAATTAAATGATTGCAATAAGTCCACATTAAAATGTATAAGTTACTATAAAAAAGTTTTTCAATCTTCAATAACGATAAAAAATAGCCTAAATTTTGCTCAAAATTGCAAAAACTATAAAACTTTGTTAAGAGCGGCACTTTATTGTTGTTTGTGACTGATGAAGTTTGCACAGGAAACAGCGGCACGTTGAAAAATTATTATAAAACCTGTCAACTGCAATAATTAATGAAGCAGAGCGTTTTATTTCAAAATAGTCCTTCACCGGGAAAACATTCAAAATGCAACCGTTTTTCTGCGTTACGAAATCAAATTTATTTCTGTCCAAAATGATAATTAAGCGGATTAGGCGCACGGAAACACAGTTTCGAATTGGAAAATTATGTTAATTAAGTAGAACAAACTCATATGTCAGATTTATCTTTTGGATTTTGGTTGGCAAATTTTGATATATTATATACCGTTGCCCAAAACCTGTCGGTGCAGCAGCAGCGATTTCTTTGAAGGCGAGCCTGTCAAGGATGCAATTCATTTTTTGCCAGAATTCACTTCAGCTTGACATTTGGCCAACGGGCAGCTAAAAAATAATCAAATATGCAGAGAAGCGATCTGTCATTTGGGACGTTGGAGTAAATAAAACACGCCCAGGAGAGCCTGACAAGGGAAGTGCACAAAGTCAAACGCAAGACTTTGCAGGGACGTCCATGACCCAGTTCTCAAAATTTGCAATCTCGGCAAAAAAAAATTTGACATTTTTATCAAAATTCAACAACAAAAAAGGGGTGGTTTTCAATTATTTTAAAATTAAAATTTAAAAATCTCAAAAAATTTAGACAATATCAAACATTTTTTTGAAAAAATAAGATTTGCAAGTATTTTTTTTTTTAAACGGTCACAAATTTTTTGGACAAAATCGTGTAAAATCTTTTCATTAATTTTTTTTTTTTTGATTTTGATCAATGCTTAGAACTCTCAAGTAGATAATAGTTCTACCACAAAAAATATTGCACAGCGGGATTTTTTTCATATTTAAATTTTGCAAATTTCCCTTTTCTCTTAAAACCATGGTTTAGATTTCGATGTTAAGTGGAAATTTTTTTTTTGTAATTTTACAGCGTGAAATTCCTTAGGGATCGATAATTTAACACTGCCCCTGTTAAACCGATTGGCAGTTTGAACACTGGTAGTTGCATAATTAATCGGCGCAAGGCATACAATGAATGCAAGAAGCATCGCGGTTGATTCAAACAAACGAGCCAACAACGCGCCAAGGTGAGCTCGAAAGATGATGCGATTGTGTTGTAGAAGAAAAATGTATAATTCGCAAACTTACGTCAGGGTGTGCGTGATTTGCATGGTTGACGAGGGCTCTAATATCCGCTCGACTTCCAAAGTAGAAAATTTTGTGCTGGGCCTCGGTGGAAAAATAAACTGCATGTGTGTCCGCGCAGCTTCCGCCCTGCGTTTTGCAAAAACACTGCAAAAACGCAACAATTGGATCCGTTTTCTATTTTTTAGTAAACTAGCCTGTGACAATGCAGAGGCTGATGCGCAGCTGGCGTTTGTCTGCAGAATCACAAGATTGAGCAAATGAATTGTGCCGTCGCCTCGTGGAGGGAGACAAACAAATCGATGGTGTTCCCCATCAAATTTGGAAATTGGCAAACTATAAAATACTTTCTAACAAATTAATGTCCTTAAGAATATGGACACACCTCACGGACCTTTCATATTAAAATCTCAGAGTTAAAATTGGAATTAGATAAGTCTATCAAAAAATTGTTTTGTAGTTTGACCAAAGAAACGTTCGAAAATTCTAGAAAGACTACAAAATTATTCAGTGCTTCAATTTAACAATAATGTCTTCAAATTGAATTGGATTTCGTCAATTTTTCAAATATTGATCAAATTTAAAAAGTGATTTTAGTTGAAAGAAATCTACCTTTAAATTTTAAATAGATTTTTCTTCCATCAAAGTGAAAATGGAAATTTTATGGAATTTTGTAATTGTATTTGATTTAAATGGTTCTCCGCAAAATATTAATTTACAGTTAATTTGATCGGTTTTTATTTCTATATAAAAAAATTATTAAAATAAATATTATATCTTTTACAGATTTTTATTTGTATTTTCAATTTTAGATTACTGTCTCTTTTGATGATTTAATATTTTATTTCAATCAGTTTCAGAGCTTCATATCATTCATATGAAAATTGCATGTTTTGGTCGATTTTAACTTTTAACTTGATTTTTCCAGAATTGTTAATGTGTAGAGTTAGTGAAATTTGCACTCTTACTTATTATAACAGATGATACTAAAATAATGATTTAAATTATTAGATTTCATTCGAGTGCAGTGTGAAAAAATATTTGATTGAATTGGATTGAATTTTAATTAATTAATCAAGTGTATTGTTTAATTAATTTTAAACTTTCAAATGCTGAAGAAAAATTTCAAGTTTTAGTTTTAAAGACGCACTAAATTTTCAATTTAAAGAAAGAACTGACAAAAAACAGTTATAATTACTGCCCATTTAGGCTTGGTCCTCCTTTAAAGGTTTCAACAACTTGGTCCGTCTCTTTGCATCTGTTTTTAAAACTATTTATCCAGCGAAAAATTAACAAACATAATTTAAATTTTTCATACTCGCTGTCAGAGTAAAAGACAAACTAAAATTATCTATTAATAAAATAAAAACTGTTATCTTAAAATATTCAAAATATTTGTATCCATCACTTTTTTGTCCACTGAGGATCACACAAGAAATTGCTAAAATAAATTGCAGGTCAATAGCAAGTTTGCAAAAAGTGATAAGTGGCAAGGTCATTAATAAAGATAATGTAGCAACTTGCAAGTATGATCAAATAATACTAAACTAATTACTGCAACTCTTATCATTTTCAAAAATTAAATTTGAGAGAGCAATGCCAATCTTTTTCTTTCGCACTTTAAAACATATTTATTATGTTTCTCTCTAAATCTTTGACAAACGTTTTAAAGTCTTATTTTTTTCATGAGAGTAAATAAATTTATTCCACCGGACGCATTGGCAGCAAACGCGTGCTATCCACTTATCCAGTTCCAACCAGTGTTTCAAGCTGCGCACTGTCAACATTTTAAAGTGGCCAACATTTTTTATTTGCGCTGTGCTTCATGTATCACCAGATCAAAAGAGAAAAGATAAAATCTGATTAATTTTCCCAGAGGAAATTACATTGAAATTTAATTTGTTTGCCGTCAACGGGACAGCCTCGCATCACACAGGATCATTTTATTTTATTTTCCCCTCTGAAATTCATGCTTTTGACGAAGCCTTAGAAAATTTCCAATTAACTCGGTTGTTGGAAAGCAGATTTGGTTTCCCGCTTTGGAGGTTTGACATTGAATCGATAGGCAAAGGTCACAAAAGTGAATATCGGCCGAAATTTTACATTGTAAATTTAATCAAATTTACAAAAGTAAAAAGTGACCGCTGTTTTTTTGTTTTATGTATGTAATATAAACGCAACCAGCACCAACAAATTAAGAATGCTAATAATTTTGCACTGGTCATATCAATGAGCCGGCCGCAGTCATCGGTCTCAATGGTCAGTCGAAAGTCAAATGCAATATTCTGACCCATTTCTAATTGTTCTCGAACTCGAAGGACTTTGGCCGATGGCCTCTCAGGACTGAGCTACGGGTCTATTGGGACGCTGAAAGCGATTGAACGCGTGCTGGGTGGATGGCTGAAAAGTATTGATGGTAAAAAAAACTTTTGTTCAAACTACCTCCTTTTCTCCTTGGGTGCCTTTGTCTGCTTTGTTGACATGGGACACATCGTGGTTTTCGGATGCTTCTGGCTGGTGCACTTCACGTAAAATGACAATCGTGGGTCACATGCAATCTCAGAACACTGCCGAGGATTGCACGAACACTTGGATCACATCGAACGTTGTATCACTCGCGAGGAAAAACTGAATTTTTGGGGCTAAACGCGGATATTTTCTCTTCCTCTCTTGCTTACCACCATTTAACAATTTCTGACGTCACATTCTTTATTTCAGCTGTACGCAGTGGGAGAGAAATCGGCGCCGACGTCGACATCTGCTGGCGCCGACCAGAAGCAACTCAAGAACCAAAACATTGGCGGCGCCCTGACCCGAGTGTATGTAAAATCGATTTTTCGCATTATGTTTTTTGGAATTTTTATTAATTTTGATTAAAAATAGGACGATGTCATGCTGGTACCAAGAAAACATCCGAGGTCAGATGCTGGAGTTGAGAATCGAGGAAAAAAATTGCGAGAATGGAGAGAAATGCGAGGAGTTCATTTCTAAGGTTCGCAATGACAGAAGGCAATACGGATTCATGTTCGGATTGACTTCTGCAATTGTTTGCCTTATTATGTCAATATACCTGGCCATCCCAACCCGATTCACGGACTGCTTCAGTTTACTGTGTGCTTTTTCGTCACTCTCCTTCATTGCTCTCACTTCGGGGAAACTTTTCTTCAGAGTTTCGAGTGGTACTAAAATTTATTATTTGTCCAACCACGTCACTTTTTACTAAAAAATATTCACGCATTTTGCAGAAACAGTCACTTACGTGCCATCGACTGGAATTCAGCACTCAATTCAGTTTAAATGCGGAATAAAAAGCCACACTTTCATTCCTGCAAAAGATTTCTCTGGAGTGATTATAAATGAAGATATTGGATGGGTTAGAAAATAAAACAATAATTTTGTTAATAAATTTTATAAATCTTTTTTGTCTAAAGGATCATGCATTTTATTTGGCAGTTCTTTTGAAAAACTCGGCTTCAAATCAGAAACTTCTACCGCTTTTTAAGGTAATTTCACTCTTGCTGGAAAAAAATCTTTTTCTTAAATAAAAATTTTCAGAACACATCCCCGAGGCTTGCTTTCATTCAGAAAGTTCATAATAGGATTCTTTATCTTCAGGACAAGAATAAATAGTTATTTTTTGGTTCATTTTTTTTTATGATCTCAATAAAATATAATAAAGCTTTGCAGTTATAAAATTTTTCTTTATTGTGTGCTTTTTACACCCTGTTCACATGTAGCCAAATTATTTCCACAATAAACTAAGATAAGACATCAAAAAAATTAAATTTACGAGACAGACAGGGTCCAGGAATGACACAAAGTGTATCTACCTATTGAGCACCTAAGTAATATCCACAACCTTAACTTCTAATGATGATTTACAATGGTATAAATTTCTGCTCCAAAATCTTTTTTAAGTAGTAGTTACACAATAAAACGTTTTTGAAGTGAAAAGATTTTGAGCGCATTACTGTATTAAGACGAGAGTGCAGGTAGTGATCAATTGTGCAGCATTAAATAAATTAAGTAATACAATTTAACCTAGTAATACAAAAATACGATCAATGTGGGTGTTGTACACCAACATCACGATTATGAATAATATACTCTGCAGACGTGTCATTTTACGACCTCATTTTGCTCTGAATTTAAATCGCTCTGCGAGCCTTCTTTGCATTTGGAGGTTCCAGATCACTTTCCACCAACTTCAATGCAAATTCATTGCACTTCCTTTCAAAGAACTTTCTCAGGACAGCACCAGACCTGCGTTTAAAATAAAGATAATTTTTATGCTTCAAAGTTAATGGCAGATATATCTTACTTGAACTCATCAGCGTCTGCTTGGTTGTACAGCTCGCAGTTGTCAAATACCAAGTGGGCATCAGCAAGGAATTCGCTGTTATTTCGATATTCCATCATGTTCAATTTGTACTTCATTGTTCCCAAGTCCATCGGCCTTTTAATGATGGTGTGGTAATCTGGTGCCTGAACAAAATTTATTAGAAAAAATAACCCAGTTATATGTAGAGGTCTTACTTCCTGTTTGGACACTGGACGAAGGAAAGGCCAAGCTTCCGTGTGTCCCATCAATTCATCAAGAACCACCCTCAGCAACTGGGCGTTTAAGCTGCACTCGTCTTCCGGCGAGTCGGATGCCATCCACCTAGGACGCCTACGAACTCGCTGATCTCTCGAGGGAACTTCATCGCCAGCAACGCTGCCATTGCGAGAAGTATCTGAATCTGTCATGTGGAAAAACATATTAAACATTAGGTAAGCCTTTGTATTTTACGTTCATTTCTTTAAAAAGCCAAGACAATGAACCTGATGCATTATAGAATGATAGATACCTCCAAAGAACAACCAAGTTCACATGATGGAAAAGCGATTAAATACAACAGAATTTTTTTGGTGAAAAATTTTGGATAATTTAGAAATTATTTACAAATTGATAGCCAATTGCTCAAAATATGTTTCAATAATTCTTAAATTTATTTGTTTCAATCATCACAGTGGTATTTTTAATAAAAGAAGATCCACTAGTCTATACACCAACCTGAGTGGTTTCTGTGAAGCACTGAGTACAAAGTAGGGATATGAAATTTGAACTTCCACAGTGGTTTTTAAAGAGAATGCAATTGTTTACAAGAGGAGACACTCAAAACTAGCCCATTTGCCATGCAAATAAAAACTACCATTAAATTTAAGCATACATGCACTAGCAGATAATGAGTAATAATGATTTATGAGAAGAAGTATTTTCATGGTTCAACTATCTTCGTCTTGAAGTTTTGAAAGATTTTTTCTTTGGTTGATCCATACCGTCCCATGAGTTGGACCGCAGTCTTTTTGCTGCTTTGGAAATTTTGGTGTTGGCGTCTCTGGCCGATCTGCGAGAATTGTGAGGTTTTTGTGCAAGCACAACTGCACCATGGCGTTTCTTCTTAGCTTTAGCTAAAATACTTGTATAAGAGCTTTGCCATTAAAAGAATTATGAATTTCTCACATTTCTTGGCAGGCTTATCTCGACATTCCTGACACTTCCAAGCACTTCGTGGAACACAGCGAAGAGGCGGTAAAGCACAGGCCGGGTGGAATTCATGGCGGCACTCTTCACATTTAACCAAGTCGCCTTGTTCACCACAAGCGACACATTGAGATTCTTCCTCTTCCTCGTCACTAAAAATTATTTTATATAAGTATTGGTATAGATCCAAATAATTATTTTTTACAACCTTTCGCTTTCCTCTTCTTCTTCCAAATCTTCATCTTCGTCTTCAGATTCAAGAAACTTCCTCACTTTCCTTGGTGATAAACTTTTAGGTCTACATGAGGGGCAGAACCACTCTCCACTTGGTACGCACTTAAAAATAAAATTTTTTTAAGCTTCAAAGTTTGGGCAATTCCTAATAGTAAGGAAATAAACAGAGTGCATGCATATAAAGACTTTAGAAAAATATATTGAACAAAAATGTACTGCCAGCTCTGTACCTCCAATTGCTTTCTCTGTGCAAGCTAAAGGGTATGATTGTGTTAAGACAAGTGCTATGGGTGATTCAAATTGATATGAAGCAAGGACTTACAGAGAGAGGAGGCTTCAGGCAATAGAGATGGTGTCCCTTGTCGCAACTGTCACACAAGAGCATATTCTCTCCATCGCCCTTGCGACGACAAATTCTGCAGCGTGCGTTCAGAGCCGACTTTGACCACAGAATGCTGTTCTCTGTGAAGAAAAATTACTGTGAAACTAAATACAAATAAAATATTGTGTAATTACCAAGTGTAGAGAAATGCAAGAAGAGCTGAGAAAAGCTGGTGCAAGCCATCAAAGACACCTCCCATCTCTCGATCTGGTTTGGTAAGTCAGCTTTGGGGTCTTCTTCATTTGGTTCATCTTCCTCTTCAGCTATAAAATATTTCATTGTGAAAATCCTGCATATGAAAACAAAAACTAAATGTTTTTCAAGTAAAATATCTCAGAGGTAGTGACGAACAAATGCTGAATTTCATGTATTATCAAATAAAATTGAATGCATCATTGAACAAAGTAAAATTATTGAAAAATAAAACGTCGCAAACCTTCATCTTCAGCTGCCTTTTTCTGCAACTTTTTCAGCCGCTTCTGCTTCTCCTTTTCATCTTCACCCAAAGGCTTTTGCAGGTACTTTGCTTCTACAGCTTGTTCGATTTGAAGAATTGCACTGGCCAGAGATCGAACTTTCTTCATGTCATCACAACTGGGTTCAGTTTCCATGGCCACCGATTCTTGGTAAACTGAACCTGATTCAATGCTGTCAGGAGTGCCAGGTCGGCTGCGCTCTTCCATCTTAAGTTTACTCACAGTACGCTCAGATGGGGGAGAACCCTGAAAAAATTTATTTATATTGCCAACGATAACGTAAGCACCATAGTATTTTAAAATCAGAAACAAAAGAGCTCAGAGGTAGTGACGAATCTATTTGATATCATAGATTATCAAAGTTTAACCTTAATTGATGCATCATGGCAATAGAATATTTAAGTTATGTTGTTATGTGACCGTAATTACCCTGCATGCATTCTTCTTGCCACCCCATGTCAGTTTGGAGCAAAGCTGGTCATATCCACCATTGATGATGCTATCCCTCCACTTCTCTCTTTCTGTGACCTTCAGTGTACCAAGTCCACCAAGGTGTATCTTTTCTTCCATGTCAATAATCACGTCCCTTAGCGTTGATTCCATGATTTCTGCCATGGGTGTTCCTTTCGGGAAATTCAAGTTGGCATCCTCTTTGTGTTTGTTTGATGAACCACCAGTATTACGTGATGATTTGCGAGGTGGATCTATTTCAGCCAGCACAACATCCTAAAAAAATCAGCTGTGGTTTAAGCAATAAAACGGCATTTCATTCAACTTACGTCGGGTCTGCCCAAAACGTTTGCAGGACATTTAGCCATGCTTTGCTCAATTCGGTTTCTGTTTAACAGAAGAGACTGACGCAACTCATTCTCCCTGATACCTCTAAGGTTGAGATTCTTGATGAGAGCATCAAGCTCGTTAGGACGGTTGAAAAAACTCCACTTCGTGCGTGGCAAAACTGTCGAGTGCACTGGACAAGAGTCCTGCTCAGCAGTGCATTTTAGGGTTTTGCTGGGCTCAACAATTTCATCCTGAAAATTAAGTTTAGCAAACACCTTGCATTAATTCTAATATCATCTTCAAACCTCTTCATCTTCTGGTTTTCCCTTGTGCTTCTTGTTTTTCCCTGCAGGATGAGGAGAGCGTTCATTTTCTTTATCGCTGGACCCACAGCTGATTTCTTCTTTCTGATCGTGCTTCAACTCATACAAGTGTCTCACATATTTCAGTGAATCTTCGCAAAGGGGAATGATTGGATCAGGTGTTGGTTTTTCTAGGCATGGCCCAATCTATCATCAAATAATAAGTATATTAATGAAGAGAAAAAATAAAATGATCTTACGTTTTCGACATCATTTTCAACATAGACACCACTTAAGGCTTGGAAGAGCCAATATCTGCGATGAGCTCTGTCATTGCCCAGGTACACAGCAGCCACTCCCCATTCCAGACTTTGCACAATATCCAGCATTTTCTGCTCTTTGGCAAGGAACTCTGCATGCTTTCTTGAGTTTTCTTTTTCACGTTTAGTCTTCTCGTCATCTATTTTTTCTTGCTCTTCTGGAGTAATTTCTCCCTCCTTCTTCTTTTGCTTCTCCACACGGTTTCTTAAATATTGGTAAAATTTATGAATACTTAATACTATCTAATTTATCAACTTACTTCATAAGTTCCTCCATTTCTCGCTTCTTTTCAACAAGCTGAACACTTCTGAGGTCGTTCTTGGCTTGTTTAAGCTTTTCGTTACGTTCGTTGATTGTTTCACGGATGCTTCCAAACTGCAGAATTTGATGCATCAAGCAAGTCAAAACTTTGAGTTTCTCCCCAATAGTTAAATCCATGACAGTCTTAGCAGTAAGTGATTTCAAAATCTGAGGTTCGTCAACACGGAATGAAAGGCCAGGGTCATCACAAATGTTCTGGCCTCTGAAATTCAAGATAATGATAAGACTTATAATATATTAGTTTTCAAACCAAGTACCTCCAAGTAGGATTGCTTTCGATGGCCTTGCTACCTGAACCTAATAAATGCAGTCTGAGGATTTCTGTGAGGGTTACGTGGTCAAGGTTTAACTTGTAGATGGGGCAACCCTGGAATGTTTGACTCCAGTTTGCAGCTGCTGCTGCGGATTTTGCAGCTTCCTCAGAGGTTACACATTCCCCTGTGTCCACTGGAGAGGATCAATCATAAACTATACAATTGGGTAAGAATTTAGCTTCATTACCAATGGCGTCAGCCTCAGCAGTTTGAACTTCGTCTTCTTCCTCTTCTTGCATGGTAAAGATCGACGCAAGCATCAATTGCAGCAGGTCACTGAGTGGACCAGCAATTTCGTGCTCCACAAGTGCCCTTTGAAGTACATCAAAGCTCATTCCCTGGGGGAAGAAGTTTTTCACTTCAAGCTCTTCTTTGAAGCAATGAAGGAATTCAAGAATGGCCATGAATTCGCCAAACAAATGGTTAGGAATGCTGCACTGCACCGCACATGGATCTGGCAATTCCTGCAAAAGAAAGGTCTAAATAGTTTCGATTTAACAAAAGAAAATTACTTTGAGGTCTTCACACATGAGATCATCTTTAGGCTTATTCCACTCTTTGTAAAACTCGTCGAGCAACCGTTTCTCTTCACGAGCTTTTTCCCTTGCCTTGCTCCTCTCTTCTTTCTTGACTAATTTCTCATGCTCTTTCTCCCGTTTTGCATCTTCAATCATCCTAAAAGAGAATTTAAAATTTCATCTTTTCAATGCTGAAACTTACTTTTGCTTAATCTGTTCAGCAGTGAGTTTCTTAACACCTTCTTTTTTGACCGATCCCTTAGGTCTACCAACTGGCTTGGGTGATTTTGTTGGCGAGTTGCCATTCTTCAAAGGTGATCGTCCCTCGGACATTTTCCTCTTTTTCTCGGCCAATTGGCCTTCCTTTGCCATCATTCTCTTCTCCTTACGCTTTTCAGCTCTAACTCTCTTTTCCCTTTCTTCAGGTGTTAGGTCTTCGTCAGCTATGAGCTTAGAGAGTCTCTTTGGTTTTGGGAATTCAGGAGTTGGTCCAGCAAAATAGTCAGATAGATTTGCGGAATCAAGGTTGTACTTTTTAACAGCAGATTCCTAATTTTTATAATTTTAATATGAGCAGTTTTTTTTTTGTAATCCACTAACCTTTACTCTTATGCTACGCGAACCACTTTCAGTGTTCTGTTTCAAAAACAACTTGTTCTTGTCCCTAGTGAATATGCTTTTGCGTCTTTTCAAGTCAGATGCAGCAACAACTCTTCTTGGCCAAACTTTTGAGGCAGTTATTTCATAGCGGTACAAAGAAGCATCAGGAATATTTCCAAACTTAGAGGCACTGCAAATATTGGAAAATATTAATCTAATAATTAAGTAAAGAAAACACTCCAACCTCTTCTCGGGGGATTTGCTGGGAGAGTTTCTATCAGGGGGAATGACCTTGAGTACAGTGCAAGGAATGCTGGAAATATATTAAAAATTCACTGTCTGTGGGATGACTTAAAAACAAACTATTTACGTATCATTTCCTGAAACGGCCTCTATGGTCTCACCAACAAAGTATCTGTCCTTCACAAAGGTAAACACATCTTCTGTCATGTCCAAGAAGCTAGTGCGGTGGGTCATTTTGGCCAGAAGAAGCACAGGGATGTGCAGCTAAATTAAATTAACGAATTAAATTGCATAATGTTTATTTAACATGGTTGTTTACCTCCTTTGAAAAGCCTTTTATTGACTGCAAAGCAGACTCCTCTGATTGCAAAGCTTCAGAATAGGTCAAGTTGGGCTTGCCGGTGAGGGAGCATGACCAGACGAGAGAATTGCACAGAATAATTCTCTCATAGAATTCCCTAAAATGAAAATTAGATGATTTTTTTTATCCATCATAATGTTTGCATAATGCGTAATTTGTTTTTATGATTTTAGCATACAGCAAGGCTGTTTGAATAAATATGTGCGACTTATTATGAATTTTAAATTTTTTTAAATGTTTTATAATTGCTTGCTATTATTATTATTTCATGGCGGCGGACATGTCGCTCCGCCAACGAGCTAACGCTCCGAGGTCCCATCTTGGAAATCGAAACCACGCGCACACCAATTACACAATCTAATTTTGCCCTAAATCATGAATTTCGCACAAATGACGCAAAATTCCAGCAAAAAATCTGGTAAATGCGATAAAACACACATTCAAGTTCGGAATGATGGGAAAACTTACTCATAATCCCTGAAGATTTCACCAGTAAGGCTGCAAAAGAAAACTTCTTCGTCGGGTCTCAAATCTTTTGGAGCTTTGATCGGCTCAAATTGCTTTTTACGTAAAAGTGGCATGTTGACGTTTTGGAGGGAATCCGCTGGTCACGTTCTGGGCCGCGAAAATTGCATAAATGCGGGCTCTTAACGAATTTCAGGTCAAATGTTACCCTAAGCACGAATTCTTGGATTCAAATTAGGCGTCGATCTCAAGAATTCGCATGATAAAAGAAGCAGAACAATCGAAGACCGGTGCATGGACCGCACGACTTATGGCGGAGAGAACTTGCTCGTTTCCTCGCTTCAGGGCCTTCTGACCACCGAGGTCACCACTTCTTCATCGCTGCACACACCGATTTGACGTTTTCCGTGTAAAATTGGGTTAAAATCGAAGATAAATTAATGGAATTTGACTAAAATTTAGAGCGAAGTGCAAGAACGCGACATCCGTCCTTTGCGTTTTCTTCGCGCAGTGGCGGGGATTTCAGAGTTGCCAACATAGATTTTTTAACTTATTAATAAATGCAGTATTTCTTATCAAACCATACTCTGAATAAATATTTCCCTTCTGAATTTTATTTAAAAAATTTGATTGTAATTTTAATTTTGAGTTAAATGAATCAATTTATATAAATTTTCAGATACGATAAATTTGCACATTTACGTTTAAAGTTGGTAATAAAATTTGCACGCGGGAACATTTTGTGTAGCGGGAAATTTCAAACACTCGCCAGCTGTATTTCGCGACATGTCAAACTTTAGTAAGCTACTCGATGAATTGCAAACTTAGCGATTTTAGCATAGTTAGCAGAATTCAGACTTGATTATGACTTGATGAGACGCACTAATATTTTGAAAAATTGACTATTTTATTAAAATTAGCGACATTGCGACTGCCGTATTCAGTAAGTTTCAATAACTTTTGATTCAGGGGGTTTGTTTACATTTTCCCCAGGCTCCTGTAATCGTAGATAAGTGATTATAATTGATTTTTGTGATTTTTATCGCTTTTCTAGATAATATTAGAGCTATGAGAGGAAAAGTTCTTATTCATAATAAAAGAGCATCAAAAGGATCAAAAGTTTGACGACACGTACAGCCAAGCATTGAATTACAAAGCCCAGTATGTCTGAAACTCTACAAGAGCGACAAGAAAATGAAATTGAAGCCCTCAAGGTATAACAAAAAAAAATTTTAAGTGAAGAGAAATCTAGATTATCTTCATAATTATTTGCAGGCAATTTTTGCACCGTCCGAGTTTCGAGATTTGCGGGAAGGTGATGTGTGGAACACCACTCGCCCACCTGACATCGTCCTGACGGTGACCCCTCAACAGGGAAGCAGTGGCCCAGCTGAGATTTATGCCCAAATTGACTTGCATGTTATCTGTGACGATAAATACCCAGAAAAGTAATTCTATCCTGATTATTTTTAAGTCTCTTAAATTTATTGTTAATAATTATCTCGCAGAGTCCCCAAGATTAACTTGGAGCACAGTAAAGGCTTATCCACTCAACACATCAACCAATTATCAGAAGAACTTGTATCGCTGGCAAATGAATTGGTTGGGGAAGTCATGATATACGAACTAGCCCAGCATGCTCAAGTAAAATATCAGGAAAAACCTACACTTGTTAGAAATTAAATTAAATCAACTTTTTGTAGAAATTTTTGATTGCCTTCAATAAACCGCAGTATCAATCTTTCTACGATGAAATGCAAGCTAGGCAGGCCCAACAAGAAAAGCAGAAGCAGTTGTTGAGACAACAGGAGCAAGACAAGGAGGTGAATTAAAACATTCACTTTTCCTGATCAAATCTTTTCAACACTTGTTTTCCAGAGGCAGAGCTTAAAGGAGCATATACAAAGAAAACAGCTAGCTCTTAAAGAAGAGGAGCGGCAAAGAAAAGAGATCATCCAGGAGAAAGAGACTGTGATCAACAGCGGCAGCGCAGCTGTGAATCAATCTTTAAAAAGGCAAAGGTTTGTACTTCAGTTTCAAATAAATTAAAAAGGTGCTAAAATTAATTTTGTTATAGAGCTCAGAGTTCCTCTAGCAGTGGTGACCGGCTGACATGCAACCATCGAGGAACAAAACTAGTCAAATTTTCTGATCGTCAAATACGAATCGGCCAGTGTTTAGGTAAAGGCTGAAATAAAATTAATGAAATCTCAAATCTGAATCCATTGCTCTGTAGGTCATAGCAACAGGGGCAAAATTGTTTACGCAGGTCAGGACATCGATTCAGGGGAGCTTGTTGTCGTCTCTCAGTGGAAGGTGAAATGTATTACACCCAAACGCAAAGGGTCTCAAGACGAAATTCACAGCTCAGAATTTACAAACATAATGAAACAAGTAATACCGTTGATGTAAACTCAAGATAATTATTTTAAGAATTATTAACAGATTTCATCAATGGAACAAGAAATGCACATGCTTCAAAAGCTTAGCCATCCTGGAATTGTAAGGTACAGAGGTTTCACTTACGAACAATTGAGCGATCACATGATGATATCAATACTTCAGGTAAAACAGTTAAATAAAAACCATTTATTTTTCCATACTTCTTTAAAATGTTTTTTTGCAGGAATTTGCAGATGGAGTGAATTTAGCAATTTTTCTTCAAGAATCAATATGTGTTGGATTGGACTTGCTTCATCACATAGCTAAAAATGCACTTGAATCTCTGTCGTTTCTCCACAGAAATAACATTGTCCACCGAGACTTACGTCACTCCAGCATATACATTTTGCAAAGTGGTATGATATCAATTTTTAGATTAAGCAAATTACACATTCCTTGTTTTTCAGGCGGTGTGACAATATCAAATTACAGTCTGGACAGCAAAATTGGAGAATTTGTGCAAGGCACAGAAAGGGTAGATTGTGGTCTTCCTCTAGCAATGGGCCGTGGTGCCAAAAAAGGAGACGTCTTCCGATTTGGCTGTTTACTGTTGTCTCTCTTCCAAGGATCTCCTATAACTGCAATCTTGCCTGTTCCGCCGTCCAATGCATCCAAAGAGTTTCAGGAATTTTTGCAAAAGTGCTTAGATAGAAACGAGCAAGATCGCTGGAGTGCAGAGCAGCTGTTGAACCATCCTTATGTTCACACCTATTTAGAGAGGCAAATCAGTCCCCTGCGCTCTGATGCTAAGAACGGTCTAGTGAGTATTATTGGTAAAATATAATCTAAATTATTCCTCTGCCCATATTTAGGATGATCTCTCTAGTGAAGCTGAAGGTGACACAAAAATTGTTCTCCCCGACTATTTTGGAAAGGGATCCTCTCGAGTGCACACTGAATTTGAAGTTCTCAAATGGTTGGGCAAAGGTGCATTTGGTGATGTGCTCAAAGTTAAAAACAAATTGGATGCTCGAGTTTATGCTCTGAAACGCATAAAACTGAATCCAAGGAACAAAACCTTGATCAGAAGAATCACAAGGGAATGCAAACTACTCTCTAGACTCAATCATGAAAATGTTGTGCGTTATTACAACTCGTGGATCGAAAGTGCATTAGTAGCACCAAACGATGAGCCTGACACATCTTTAGCAAGCGCAACAACTGAGGTTGGGTTAGGGCAAACAACTGAAGGTGCACACACAATTTGTGACGAGGACTTAATTTATAAACAAATTTTATCTTGATTTAGAAAACGCAAATTTGGAAAAATCCATTCTAGCCAATGCAAGTGTAGAGTGGAGTGTCTCTTACGAGGCTAGGCCACAATTTTACAATTTTGGCTCTGATTCATCAAGCTCTGATGAGGATGAAGATGCAGGGCCGTGGGCAGCTATTTTGTAAATAAGATTTTATCTCAAAAATCAATCGTTATATTTCATTTTTTTTTTGTCATAGTCCTCCTGACCAGTCGAGCAGTATTGTATTTGAAGGGGAGGTGCAAGATGAAGAATTGGAAGACCAAGTAGATTCTCAAGCCAGTGGAAGCCGGCAAGAACATGAGCCTAAAGAAATTCAATTCCTCTACATTCAGATGGAATTTTGTGAGAAAAGCACACTAAGGTATAATTTTTTTAAACTGTCTTTTTTTTAGGAATTTTTTGACACAACTTATTTTGTTCCATTTTGGAAGCATAAATTTAAAATAAAAATCAAGAAAAAATGACACAATAAATTCATTTCTTCTAATTGAATTTGGAATACAACCACAAAGAAGTGGAAAAAGACTTGTAGTTAGGTGCCGTGTGTGCACATATGGCACCTATCTAAATTTCCATTTCCACACCTTCAGTGAGAGTAATTCAATTTTAAGTGTCATTTTTTTTTTTAATTTTTAATTATTTACAAATTCTTTATCTCAAAATTGGGATTCATTTAATTTTCTAACATTTCATTTATTTTAGGAATGCCATTGATAGTGGAGAACTTTACTCAGACGAGCAGAGAGTTTGGCGCCTGTTTCGAGAAATCGTTGAGGGCTTGGCTCACATTCATCAGCAAGGAATGATTCATAGAGATCTGAAGCCAGTAAATGTGTTCTTAGACATACAAGACCATGTTAAAATTGGAGATTTTGGATTGGCAACTTCAAAATCATCAGCGCCTATTGGAAAAGAGCACCTCTCCTTAGTGAGCCCAGAAATAAGCTCAAAAGATTTCCAGGACGACGGTGGCGCTCTAACTGGTCACGTCGGCACTGCCCTTTACTCTGCACCCGAATTAAACACAATTGCAGGGCAAGTTGTCTTCTATAATCAGGCAAGTTAAAATTATTAATGAATCAATAAATTACTAATGATCAATTCACTTCAATTTTAGAAAGTCGACATTTACAGCCTTGGGATAATTTTCTTTGAAATGTGCCATGCGCCTCTGGGAACAACAATGGAAAGAGTGAAAGTCCTTGTTGCTCTACGACAGCAGGATATCAATTTGCCGGCTGATTTCTCAAAAGAAGAACACCCTCAGCAAGTCCATGTCATCAAGTGGCTGCTCAATCATGATCCGAGCAAACGGCCGTCGGCTCAAGAACTGCTAAAAGCGGAATGTCTTTTGCCTCTGCAGCATGAGGATGTTGCGCTTCAAGAGATACTGACCAACGCGTTTGAAAACACGCAGAGCAAAGTTTACAAACATTTAGTCAGCTCCTTCATGGCACAGGTAAAGAGTGGCAAAGTGCCCATGCCCATAATTGTTTTCTTACTTAACTTAAATATATCACATTTGATGTTTATCTTAGGAGGTTCCCCAAGCGGAAGATCTAACTTTTGACATGGGAATGAGCAAAAGTCTTGCAGTCCCAAGAGCTATGAGTGCCGTTAGACCTATGATTGAGAAAATTTTTCTCAAGCATGGAGCTGTACGACTCTCGTCCCCAATGCTTATTCCAAAAAGCAGCACTTCAACCCGTGTGAAGGAAACAAGCACAACTGTAACTATGATGACTCACTCTGGATCGGTTGTGACTCTCCCTCATGACCTCCGTGTCCCATTTGCAAGATTTGTGGCCTGGAGTGGTATCACAACTTCTCTTAAAAGATACACCATCGAAAAGGTGTTTCGTGAAAGAAGAGTGTTTGGTGTCCATCCTCGAGAGCTTTACGAATGTGCATTTGACATAGTTTCACCAAATTTAAGTATGTTTTGCACAATCTTTTTTTTTTTACTTTTTTTTATTAAATTTTTTTCAGCAGGTTTTCAGCTGGCTGAAGCAGAGCTGTTAGCAATTCTTTCAGAAATTGTGAGTGAATTCAATGAGGACATTCAGGGCGCAGTTATTAGACTCAATCACACCTCTTTGGTAAAAGCTGTGCTTTTAAATAGCGGAATCGACGAGGAAAAACATGACGAGTACATAAGCATGATACACGAGTTAAAGGTAGCTTATTCAGTAAAATGCCATATATAGAGACAAAAATATTTAATCATATATTTTTTTCGTAGGATTCTAACAAACCAAACGCAAAATTGCAAAATTTATCACATCATTCCATGGAAAACTTAACTACGGTGCTCAAGGCAGAAGCGCCACTTAGTCAAATGCACAATTTGAAAGCACTTGCTAAAGGTCGTGGTACTACTGCTAATCTGGCTAAGGAAGGCTTAAAATATTTGGAATCGGTCATCAGTGCTGCCGAACTTTTGGGCGTAAAGGTATACAAATTCAGTCAAAAAATAAAACATTAAAAATCCTATAACATCAAAAACTTTCCAGTGTCCTATGATTGTCTCACCTGGACTGGTGCTTGATCCGAATCGCTACAGTGGATTCATTTGCCAACTCTGCTGCGAGAACCCGACTTCTCACCATCGTAGACAAAGAGACGTCATAGCAGTTGGCGGGAACTATTCGCACCTTCTCTCCAAATACAGGTAAAAACTATTTTCTTTCTTTCAATTGTAATTTATTTTGGAGCTCGTGAATTTTGTGATGAGCTTGCTCAGCAACGCACCACTCGGGTTGGCAGTCGGGGATGAATTGCAAGTGGTTTAAGGACATTTCAAACGAATCAGATGCCTCCTTTTGAGTTAAAGTTTTAATTGATAGTAAATGTTATTTTGAAGGATGGCTTGCCTTTAATTTGCTTTCTTTTGATGGGTCTGTTTCATCGTCTCTCTTGATCGTTTCAAGGATTGTCATACCTAATTCATAATATACCGTTCCTTTCAAAGATGAAATTCCTGAAGAAAATATATTATTCATTTTAAGCTTTTGCATGGTATGAAGTGAATATTTTTGAAACTCTGTAATTTACCTGAGAATAGTTTATCGGCTACTCTGATAATTTCCCTACACAATGTCTCCTTGCGCTTCAGTTTTCTTTTAGTACAATATTGGGGACTGTATAGGTGAAGCAAAGTGTGCTTTACATCTACAATTGTTGAATGGGAAGAGTAAAGGTGCTTTTGGAGTTCAATCAGAAGATTTTCGTATTCCTGCGGTCCACTCTCGTCTGAGTCGTCCAACTCGTGGACTGCATCTATGGCTCTCCTCGTTATCTCACGTGCAATTAAACCTACATGGGCGCATTTTGTGTTGTATTTAATGTGGATTATTCATTTTTGATATCTGAAGGAAGCGAACCTGTAACTTTATAGTCGCACCTCCTGCAATGCCAAATCTCCTGTTTATATTCTTCCTCATTTTTAGCTGGCGGTGTCAATGGATTTTCAGGCAGAACAGCCCCTTGACAAAAAGCATTGTCTCCATTTCCGTCTCTTAAAACGGTTATCTTGTTGCATAATTTTTTAAATTTCATTTTTTAATTAACTCATACTTTTGTTTGCAACGAAGTGCAGATAGGAAAGAGCCCATTTCCGTGGGGTCTGTGCATCTTTCGCACACGCACAAGAAATGCTTGCTGTAAAAAAGGTGCGACCTTCTCTCAGGCGTTGGCCAAAGGCTGTCGGTGTACGTAACAGTGATGTGGTCTCCTTTCGGAATGTCTCGGGTCGCCCTAACGCAAAGGCTAAGATCTTTTTCAAACGTCCTAAAAGTGTTGGGAATGCAGTTGTGTTCAGGCAGACTTGCAACCGGGTACACAGCCTGCACGTTGTTTGTCGGCATCCGGACCTACATTTCCGAAATAGAATTAATTGCACTAATTGCTCAATTTCTTTTTACGCGCTAACCTCATACGCATTGACTTCTAGCACGGCCAAAAGTCTTAGCATTTCTTTCTCAGACGCCGGCAGGCCAAAGCGCGCCGTCAGTAGAGCGCAGAGTGCTTTGGCCTTTCGCTTCTGCAATTTAGGTCTTCTCGTGCTTTCAAGCGCCTCCATGCTTTCAAGTGCATTCCACTTCTCTGGGTCTTTTGTCTTCAGCATTAAACAGCGGATTAGAATCACACAATCGTACAAAGGGTCGTGCGCCGTGGGGTCATATATGTTGACAGGCACGCCAGACCTTGCTGTGGCCTCACATTCCGGCTACAAAAAACACAATTTTTTTTCAAGATTAATGCAATTCAAAAATCTAACCTGGTGGCGCAGAGAAAAAATGCACTCCTCAGAGCAGAGAAGCCAACCACAGGTTGGACACCTCAAGTCTTCAGGGTCGTCGACCGGTGGCAATGGTCCGTAGCAGCCAAGGCAAAGTGGTGCACAGCCCGGCTGCAGGCCTGACACAAGTGGTTCAGCCCTGAAGACCAGGTCGCCCGCTTTGATATCCTGAGCGGCGACGAGATACCGGCCTAGCTGTTCATTATGGCGCACTTCGTATTTGAGGACGGCGCCAGTGTCAAGGTCCGAAACGACCCTTCCGCCCGAATTGCACCGCATGCAATCGCTGTCGATCGCGGTGGACGTCAATTGCTCTTGATTTTCTGCGTTCACATTTCAATTAATAGAGCGTTTAATTTTACGTTTGTTTTTTCCTGCCAATTGAATGTGAATTAAACAACTTACCCATTAACCACAATCGGAATGACAATAAACGACACACTTAATTTGCCGGTTCACAAAGGGAAAGAATCCTTAAAGCAATTAGAATGATTCGACGGTTAGCAGGTCTTCTCTTGGGCGCGAGAGTTGTAAGTAAGGATCTGTATATGTGTGCGTGCGGTCTGGAGGTACGCCAAGTCGAAAGCGCCCGGGCCAAAACGGTGGAGGAGGAGACTGTGGTGATAGGTAAACGCAAATCATCCTTCTTCTCGAAGACAAAGAGCGGCCTACAACACAACAGCAGCAGAAACACACTCTTCAGCTATAAATAGTTAGGGAAACAATTCGTATAAATAGAATACTACCGCTCGTCAATACGTGGAATGCAAATAAAGTAACGCGGCCTGTGGGTGCTCGACTTGGCTGGCCCAACTGCGTAGAGCGCCCGACAAGTTATTTTGATAAATAAACATCCAATTTTTATATTAAATTTTTCTTCATAGAAAAAAAAGTTGTCTAAAAATAAAATAAAGATTTATATCAAATAATTAGCTCTCAGACTTTTTAATGTTATATAACTTTTTATCTGTTTGTTTCAGGGATGTCTTAGAAAATGCCCAATCAGTACGAATGGTGCCTATTGGTGGCTCTGGGATATCAGTGTCACTTGAAAGACTGGCAGCTATCCTGCAGCAACAGTGTTCCGACCCTTTGATTCTCAGCCAGGCCGACACAGTGATTAGCTCGCTGGGTTCGAAAGTCTTGCAGAGAGAGGCGCCAAAGCTCGCACGAGAGCTATGGGCTGCTGGCGTGAAAACCCATCTTGTACAACATGTGCAAGTAATTTAATATACCAAAAACGTAATTCAAATTTTTAAATATTTGTTCTGAAGGGAATAGAGGAAGCTGAAGCGTTGGTAAAAGAACTGGGTGCCTTGTATTTGGTTTTGCTCAAAGATTCAGAGCCCAATATCACAAGGATCAGAACATGGGACAAGGACAGGTTAATTTTTTTTTAAATATAATTATACTGCTCAAATATTGTAACCAATTGACACCAATTTCACCACAGATTTCAAGATAAAAAGGTAGATCTGGCGGATGTAACAGGATGGCTCACTCGCAAATATAACAGCAGTGAGGAGGCGCCGGACACGAATGTCGTGAGCAATTACGCAAACCAGTCGTCTGCCTCAATGAACGTCGGAATCAATGCTGGCTTCAATTTTCACTTCGCAACTAATGAGAAATTGGCACACAACACCCGACGTCGCTACGAGGGTTTGGTGAGCATTTGCTATGAATTAAAATGAGCTGAATTTGCAGGCATGAATTTTATAGATTGCTGGGCATTTGGCACACCTGGTTAAATTTTTAAGTCCAAAGTCTGTGGTCGAAGTAGTGGCAGTGAGCGTCGAAGGAAACATTGTCAAATCCTTGGCTGCTAATTTGGAAATAAATGGCAGCGAAGACGAGTTTAATGCGAGTATTTCAGCTGTTGTAGAGAAGTAAAGATTGTTTTGAAGTTGTTGGTCATATGATTAATTATTTCTTTAAGGTACGGAAAGCATCGAAAGTACTTGGCCCAAGTTTGTGACAAGCTGTTTGAAATCAAATTTGAGAAGAAGTTATATGGTATAGTGTTGTACAGCCTCGCAGACAATGTATACAGAACATTATTTTAATACAATATTTTTGTAAAACATGTCTAATTTGTGATAAGAGGAGTTATTCAACTTTTTTGATAAATTTTGAATAAAATAGCTTTCAAATCAATTCAGAAAATTTATAATAATTTATTTTCTTTATTAAAATGCTTATCGACAGAGTGCAACAGAGTTTTCTCAATGCTTTAGTTTGTTAAAATATTTGAATGTGGCTGAATTTTAAAACAATGGTCACTTTTTAGTTGCAGTAATTTCATTTTTGTACTTTTCCAGCAAAACATTAATGGAGTTGATATGGGATGCATGTTCCCTCAATGGCCATAACCTCTTCCACAGACATAGGCACTAATCTGAAGTAGCACTTGTTTCCCCTGATATCCTGACCGACTGCAACCATAAGTCTTGGTGCTTTGTCTTCAGCTTCCTTGGCACTTCTAGGGACAGTCTTGCTGCTTCCACTGGCATTTTTGTCTCTCTCCTCGTTTTTCTCGGCGTTTTGGGATTCATTCTTTTCCTCGGAGGCAGGTGGCTGTTTCTTTGGGTCTTTTACCCTCTTTTCAGTGTCAACAACCATCTCCAACTCTTCAGCCTCAAATTCTTCCTCAGTTTCATTTCCGTCTTCTTCAAGTCTTGGAGTAGGCGGTTTTTCAGGTTGATCTAGGATTATTTTCAGTAAGTCGGCAGCTACTTGCTCCTGTACCTGGTGTTCTTTTCCAGTCATAATATTTGCAGTAGTGAAGATCGATACCTCGTCTGAATCTTTCTCTTGCTCAGCTACAGTAGCTACGGTTAGATTCTGGGACTGTGCAATTTTTCCACCTTTGAACAGGTTTTCAACCAAGCTAACAGCTTTGCAGTGCTTCTTGCCAATCAAAAGGTCACCGATGCTCTCAGGAGGTGCATTTTGTGAATCTAAATTTTAATAATAAATGTCAAAAGCACAATTCAAAATATTATACAAACCAAATTCATCATAATTATCATTCCATTTTACATTTCGGGCTGCCTTATTTTTGGTATTTTGCTTCTCAGCATCTTCGTCCTCACTATCAGAAGGTATCATCTGAGTGTGTTTCTTCCTGGTCTTTGGGCTGTTGACATCAGTGGAGTGAGAGGGTTGTGGTTTAGTCTTCATTATGTCCTCAACAACGACAGAAGATTCCATTGAGAGCTTATCAGGGACAGGTTGCTTGCGAGAGGTTGCTTTTGGACTTTCTATTAAGCCCAAGCAATTCAACAACTCTTCACTAACTTTAGCCTTTTGTTTCCCAGTGAGCAAATCATAAACAGCAGATCCAGATTCTGCAGATAAGAAATTATTACATGCTAAAACCCAAAACAACTCCATCGAGCATTAGTCTGCTGACCTGAAACAACAGTGGCTGTTTCATCAAAGGAAGAATGTGAAGAAATTGTCTTTGTCTTTTCTCGAGGCACTAGAAATGATTGTTTGGGGCCATCAATCTTTGATTCATCAGTTCTGGAAACCTTTGTGCGTCTCAAATGGTTGTCCTCAGAATGACATTCTAAATATTTATAAACATAGCAAAGTTATACTTGTCTCAAAACGAATTTTTAAGTTGAATAATTTACCCATCTTCCTTTTAGACTGAGGGCTCCTCATTTGAATTGCATCTGCATCTTTGTCTTCCTTATCTTGATGCTTTTCATTCCTCGGACGCAAAGCCCTGTTGGATTTAGTTCGACCACTAAAATTTTTAGAATTTAATGTCATTATTCTATGAATTTAAAAACAAAAAGATGTTATACTGTGTCAAATGAAGCTCATATTCACTATCTGAAGAAGAGTCCAATTCCTCTAATATTTTTGCACGGTTCACTTTTGATGAGACTGGAACCGATTCCCTGAAATTAAATGAAATAAATATTTCGCAAGAAGTTCTTATAAGTTTTTCAACATACTTGTAGAATCTTTGTTTGAAGAGATTAGCATCATATCTATTGCAGTACTTTTCAAAGTTGGGAGCTACTTGTTCATACATAGCCGCTTTCATCAAAGAAGCTGATCGTCCATTCAACACCTGTAAGCATTTCCAAAAGTTTTTCATTGTATTTTTTTGTTTGTCATCGATAAATTAATTATAATTATAAAAATCTTGTTGCCTTTCACTAATTTAATTTCAATTCAAACTTACAAAGTCATTAACAAGACTCTTGTAAAACTCCAGGTTTTTTATTTTGTCATGAGCTTTTCTCTGGATAATTGCTGTCACCAACGTCTTCAGCTCGCTCTCAGTTAAATCTGGTTGATTTGTGCGAGGCCTGCCAGATAAAAAGATATTAAAATTTAAATAACAAATAATATTAATCTTTCTTGATACATAGAGCATTACATACATGATAAAAACTTAATTTCCTTGCTTCTTTAATTTGTAGTTTTAGACATTGTCTGAACACGCGTTGGTGATTTATATGGAGCAGAATTTTCAATTATGTAGTTGCATAAATAAAATATTTGCAGTCATCACAGCATTTTGCAACAGAAGTAACAGAACCAGAATAAAAACAGGAACCAACAGGAATTAACCACTTCTTGCAGGGACCGTTTTGTTTGCGTGCGTTTGCGTGTTCGGTGTGGCCCTCTGTCGGCAAAATCAAATCAAAAGCAGATTCCGTTTTCTAGTGGTGAAGCCCTCGGACGGAATTTATTGTAACTAACAACAAAAGGGGGCTGGGAAGGGAACCCAGCTAAGCGCTGGAGGCAAGAGAGGAGCTGGATAATTTTTGTTTATTTTCTAATCGAGTTTCCACCGCCCACCTACCTAGACGGACGCTCATCTCGTGCTCCCGTTGCATCCAGGGATAATAACTGGAAGGTCGTTTTCGCTTCACGCTAATTGAAAAAGGTGAGTTTGGTTTTGGCAAAATTTCAACGCAGTCTCGCGACCGTTTGAACTTTGTTCCCGGGGTGCACTCTGACCCCCCAGCCAAGATAGCGGAATGAAAAAAACACATGCCTCGGTCAGCAGTCCCATGTGGCTCTTTTTTTCTCAAAACAAAATCATTATCGTCGTTAACGGCCACTTTGCTGGTTTTTGTTTTAAATTTTTACTCACTCGCGATAATGGAATAAAAATTTTTGCGCGCGCCTATCAATTGGCTCAGTAGGTGAGTCCAAAGCGGTACTTTTCACGAACATTAAAAGCAACTAAACCAAGTGTCCGGCCGGCTTATCAAGCTAAATACGTCCACTTTGCCGATAAAAATCGACTCGTTTTGCGCGTCAGGTCCGAGCCCTCAGTTCGCGTTCGTGCGCGCACCTGGTGTCGCATTTTAGTTTATTCGGTCACGCCTGGTGCTTCTCGTCGTAATCCTGAACACGATGCAGCTGTCTGCCCACCTATTTTGTGAGTAATGCCTTTTTGTATAATAACAGACAGACCTGCAGCACCTGGAAGACCCTTTTTCTCTGATCGTGTTTTGCTCCGACTCCCGGATATGAGTTGTTGAAAAAGGAATCAATTTTATATTCAGTTATTCACCAAATGGTGTATTCGATGGACGATTTGAAAGACTGCTTTAGCATGCAGGACACGTTCTTTACAAAACTGTTGCTCAAAACTTGTGAAATTTAAAATTTTGTGTTTTAATATTAATTCGCCAGCTAGCATGAAGTTTGATGTTCCAATTAAATTACAAAATTTTCTAGATTTCGGTACAATTTAAAAAAAAAACTAAATTTGTATAAAAATTATTCAATATTATAATTTTTTTTAATTGTGAATTATCTTGGCTCTGAATCTTAAATATAATTGACACGTTCGTTTTTGTCTTTGCCGTTTTTCATCCTAAATGTTAACTGAAGCAGCACAACATTTGCTACTAAATTTCAAAGCTTTTTAACTTTTTAATTTAAAAGGCTAAATATTTTTTACTACAAGTAAAGAAGCCACATTATTAAGAGGTTAAGAAACTAGAAAGCAAAACACTTTTACTCGCACTAGTTTTCCATTCGAGTAAGTACAAATTTTTTAACACAATGCTTGCAATCTTGACAAAGTCAAAGACGGATTAAAACAAGGCTTGCTACAAATATGTATTGTAAGTTGCTATAAAAATATAATATTTTTTTAATCAAGGCATCATAGCTTTAAAAATAAAGTTCAAATATGATTTAATTAAAAAAGTTATCAAAATTTAATTGGAAGAAATAAAATAACTAAATGAGAGAAAAATTTAAATTCAGTTTTACGCCAGAATTTTTTTTTTTTTTGTATTTTATATCATTGAATAATATTTTTACATGTACATTTTGACCTATTTACTATTTAGAGGAAATTTGCAATAAATCTATTTTTACGTAAACAAATTTTTTTAATCCATGAGCAAATTAATTTTAATGATGTAGAGACAATATTTGTGATGAAAGAAGATGCCACGAGCTAAATATAGACGGAGCAATTCATCCTTTCATCTAGTGTACCATCCAGAAAGGTCGCTGTCTGTTTAAGTATGCAGAATTCGTTGACCTTTCCTCCATGAAAATTGAGTCAACAGCCGGATAAAAAAGCCTGCAATTTCAGCAGTGCCTTATCAGAAGGAAAAATAAATGTACATAAAAGAATGTCGCGTTGCTGTAGAAATTATTCAGCGCGAGAAACGATTCCGCCGAATTAATATATAAAAATTCAAAGCTTTTTGTCTCCAATTTTGCACCAGAGCGAATCACACTTGTATGCAAACCGCACTTAAGGATATGCCGAAGACGGAGATGATGAGCTCGTGACCGCGCTGACTCACTTTCTGCTTTATCATTTTTTGTTCCGAGCTGTCCCGGAAACGGTTGTTTATCAATTGTGCTCCCACGTTGTGTTTTACTTGCAAGTTTATAAACCCGATTGCTGTGTCGCACTATTATATTCTCAATTGGAATCGGTATGGCGTGACCAGCGCCAGAAGTAATCATTTTCTTTGTAGTCGAGAAGTTGGTCATGGATTTTGCTTTTATCGTAAAATTTGATAAGTTTTTGCTTTTATACGTTTGGCCAGGGAGAAATACAATTACAAGTTGAAAATGCCTTCAAATCTAAAACTTTTGAAACTTCAAGAGACTAAAATTTCAAATCTAGTTAGATTGTATATTGTATTATATGTTTATTTTTTTATTCATTGTTAATAAAATCATTTATGTTTTCATTTATACTTTCTATTGAAAATTTTCATCTTACATTTTCATTTTACATTTTTCAAATAGAATTTTAATATTAAACTGGAGAAATCACACGTTTTTGACATAACTATAATTTTGATAAATACTTTGTTAACACAAATTTAATTTGTTCATTTTTTCTTTCTTCTCCAAGATCTAATAAAATTGAATTACGTTTGAATAATATAGATCATGAGATATTTTATATTCAGTAAATATGCGACTAACAAAACTTATAGTGCGGAATTTTGTGGTTCCAAAAAAATGACACTGATATTGAAAGCTTTCAAAAGGAAAAACGCAACGTCGGAATTGTGGTTTCGTTTAATCGCGAGTTTTGCGTGTTATTTTGTGGCGGATTCTCGCGCACATGCCTCGTCCGACATTCCCACGGGCTCTGATTTACGCTTCCCTTATCAGTTCTTGTCCGGCGGAGCCCAAATCGGGGCCATTAAAAGTGAAATGAATTAAAAATCGTGGGAAGCGTGCTGGTGGCGCGATTAAGACTCTTGACACAGCTTTTTTCCCACCGTCAGGGCACAATTGCATTTTTATTCTATCCCGGGCCGGAGCGCGCGATAAAAAAATAAAGGTTCAAGGCGACCCCGTGCATGCGTCATTCTGCAAACACACATCCTGCGCCGTCCGGCCCAATTACTTGGCAAACACCCCAGCCATCAATCAGGCAGGAGTTCCTATTCGGAAACAATATACGTTGACCTGCCCTTAATTTTGCCCGGGGGTCATTTTGCCGCGCGGAGAAACTCACAGACCGCAAAGATCGTCTCGTGACTCACGTCGGCAACTTTCTGGAGAAAAATCTCTCGTTATAAATAGAAAAGCGTTTACATTAGATTTCTGCTCTTGAATTTTATCCTTTACGGCTCACGGGCTATTTATATAATATATGGTCGGACTAAGTTCTGAGTTTGGCCCGTGCCCTTCAGATTATTTCTGCTTTATTTCAGGCAGCTCTCATCGTAATATGGGAGCCGCAGAAGAGGACGATTATTTAATTGTCGTTCCTCAAGGCCACTTTTAAAGAACTACTTCAAACCGCAAGTCGCGCGAGAAATGGTTTTTTTTTTGCAAACTAGTCAAACTATTAAATTGAAGTGAGAGATTTCTTTTATTTAATTTATTTTAATTAATATTCTATTGTGAGCTTCAAATTTTTAATGAAATGCAATTGAATTATTTTTAAACCTGAAGGGAATTAAATTTTTTGTCTGTTTTTTTTCAGAGGTTTTCTGTTATTGTCTTTTACACAATAATAAATCTACAAAATCTCGTAAAATTCATTCATGAATCACCAAGTTAAAAATGATCAAACAATATTTTCCTCAATAGTGATATAAGATTATTAAAATACAATTCAAGAACATTTAAATAATTTATCTAACTGTGTTAAACAGGTCAGAAAGTCAAGGCTCTTGGCACGATTTTATATTTCTGATCACAATTTGAATTTAATTAAACAATCAAACCACAAGGAATTTTATTGATTATTTTAAATGCTATATATTTTAATATTTTATCTAATTGTGATGACAGAATTATTGATATTTTATTTCAGCAAAACAAAGAAACTAGTCAAATCTTCATGCGCGAAACCGTAAAATATTTACAATTTTGTGGTCAAAACTATGGCTGTTGCTTTCTACGGTGCCCAAATTAGCGTATGACTCGATCGGGGAACAATTTCGCACGCTTCTCGGGCTCCACCCAACTACTCTTGTTCTTATTTCTCGATTTTCCACCGGCCAAGTGGCCAGCGAACGGCGTCGCGCTCTTCGCAATTATTTCTCAGGGCCGTGCTCGCTTTTTTTGGCATGTGAGTCGCAGCAGCCGCTTTTTCGCTCGCCACTGGGGCCCCCAACTGTAAATTATGAAATGCTACATCTGCTCGCCAGCCTCATAATAACACGGCCGATTATACAAAGAGTTGGCGCACTCGACAAACATCTGCACTTCCTTGAGATGTGGAGTTTGTATAAATTCGCTCTTTCAAGCAGACGATCATTTCGTTCTCGCTGACTGAGCGCGGAACTTTATCTGCCAATTGCCAAATGGGATCGCTGTGCGTGGCTGCCGTCGGGTTAATTGGAGTCGCAGACTCGCTGAGAGAGACATTTAATTCCTTTCCTCATATTTCATAAGAAAAAATACTCACAACGTGAGTATTCAACCTCCAAGAATTTGTGTGGTGGTCAGATATTTATTTCTTTATTCTTGATTATTTTTATTGCCAAATATCATCATAAATGAAGTTTCTTATTATAATTACATGCTTAATAACTTGAATATTAGTGAATATTTGAATTACTGGGAATTATTAAGTTTTGAATTACAGAATTCGCTCTAAATTTGAAAATTTAAAAGTCAAATTTTATAATATTCAACAATTTCAAAATGTTACCGTTGGGTTCTAAATTGTAAGTTTGGTTATAAACAAAATTTCATATTAACTTCTGTATTTTTATTTTTGTATTAAAAATTTAGTTCTGCAAACTCATTTTCAGTAGTATTTTTCTTATTTATTACGAGGAAAGCTTTCGAAGCAAATCAAATTCTGCAGGTTTGAGCAAAATTCATTTTCGCCTTCTGCGACTCGGGTTTCACCAAAAAGCAGATACCAGCACCTGCAAGTAAGAGCCAGAACCGAGATAACAATCTTCACGCTGAGCAATTAAAGCA